ATATATGGAAATTCAACTCATAAGTTGCAGATAAGATGAAACTTAATTGAATCAAATAAAAATAACTTTATATCGGTGAAAATGTAGATGGCAACACAAAAAGTGTTTTGCATGAAATGATAGCTTACAGATCCCAGGCTAGCAATAATGTAATTCATCTGGAGTAAAACATTGATTATAGAATGGTGTTGAGAATGGATTTTCTTCCATTAATTTTGCTCACAGTCATTTGGGATGGGGTGGGAGAATTTATTTAAATAGAAAGGCATCTATGGCATTCAAAGGAGCGTTTATATTAGTGTTTTTTTTAAGTAAATATGGTAACCATTGACAATATACCCATGATTATTGTACATGTAATCTAGCACTGTTAGTGGTGGTATTAGGACCTAAGTTATTATCTGATGCTTTAATCGAATGTGACAGTATACGCTTTATCCACGGCATCGTCATTGTTACATCCGTATTAAAACTAAACCTGTCATAATTTAAACGACAATTATCATTCAAACTTTGTACGCCCACTTGAACCCAGCGAGCTCCACCATGCCCGTTCTCTGGTACACTCATGACGACAGGGGACCCAGATCCAACCCTGCAGCCCTGGTCACCTAAACCAGTGTGGGGTCCAGCACAGAATAACCTGGGGGTAAACTTAGCGAATTGTTTGAGAGCACTTTTGCACCTATGTCTAGGCTGTACACGAACTGATTGCTGTAGCAAGGCAAGAGGATCGCTTTCTGAACTTCGATGACCCTGTGGCAAATCTGTTCCCCATCCTGTTACCGTAACTAATGTTTTCTTTGTGGCTGGAACTCCTGTAAAGTTTGATCAAAGTATTAAATTAATATAACAATATATGACTCAAAATATTGTTTGAAGGTTTGTTATGACTGATTCACATGAATTGAAACTTTTTTTTACTATTAACGTTCTTGTCCAACTCGGCTGAATGAACTTTGGAATTCTCTAGTCATAGAATTATCTTAAAAATTGCATTTAATTCTACCTGTCCAAATTACTCATGCATACATTTTGTAATGGAACTAACGACATAATTGATTGGTTTGTTAACCATTCCAGATATAATTAAATTTTATTATATGTAATGAAAAAAAAATAGAAAATTATGATCTTTAGAGGGCATTTAAAGGTGTTTAAATGTTGGAATTTTGTCTTCAAAGGAATAGTGTTGAATTAGCTATCACTAAGATATTTCAGTATGATTGTGCACGGCTACGGTATTTCTAGGCTATGCAGATGCATCTTCATCTCTTTCCTTAGTTTAGTGTAAATTCTACTCTAGACTAGGTCCTCCGAATCAAGAGATAGGCCTAAACCTTTGTAGTTTGTTGAATAATAAAATTTAACTTGTGAGGTTAACAACAAATCTTCTTTACGGTATTTCATGAATTAATTATAACCACAGAGTTATGAACACCAACAATACTATGTCGGGGAACCGAATCTCAAGTATTGTATTTGCAGGACCACGTGCATGCGTTGTGGGCGATTCAGAATCGTCCATTTCACTAGGTAGGCAATAGTTAAGCCGTACATTTTTGGGAATCCCCACCGAATATTGGTATGAAAACAACATACATTCGATCAATGAATGTTGTTTTTATCAAACATAAATATGATTGAGCTTTAGTTTAATGTAACATTCGATAGATTTGAAGAATATAAAGAATTTGCTAAAGGTAGAACAGGCCCAATTAGGCTAGGCCGAGCTGATTAGGCCAAGCCGTCATGGTAAAAGTGGCCGTCCTAAATAATTGTTGGGCGCCCAAAAGACGGCCGGATGACTCGCTGGCTAAGCCTATGTTGGAGGGAGACCTGCACTAGGAAAATCAAGAAATAAATATTACTGCTTGGCAAATTTCAACACTATTTGTAAACTAAATAAATATTATTGCAGATTGTCAAACAATTTGCAAATTTAGTACTTATTTTAAATTGCATATTTAGTGCTGAAATTCGTGTTTTCATCGAGCAAGATCAAAACAATCCAGCCGAATGTAATTTTTTTTACTCTGAATTAAATATTCCTCGAAATTAATGATTTACTTGTGTTTATGCCAACTTACCATTTATTTGTTCTGGTAGGAATGCTAAAACTTTTGCTGTGTTATTCAAAATGACTTTCACATTTTCATATCTAGGTGTTTGTAACAGAGCTGTGAATACAAAACATAACATGTTATTGTATGTGAGACTGAGTTATGTATACAAAATTCCTATAAGGGTTCACATTTTCATATCTAGATGTTTGTAACAGAGCTGTGAATACAAAACATAACATGTTATTGTATGTGAGACTGAGTTATGTATACAAAATTCCTATAAGGGTTCACAGGGAGAGTTTTATTGCTTAGTAAAGTCCAAATTGTGCTTTTAGACCACAATATATTAGGAATTAGCTATAAAACTAACGTTATTTGGATAGGCAAAATTATTGTTTTTTAAATTTTTGATCCAACGACCTAGTCGTAGCGTCGGGCAACAGGGGGTCCAGACTTGTCCGACGTCAGGGCAAATGCTCCCCTGCCTCCCGCTGGCACCACCACTGGTCCAGGGGACATTCCCTTGGAAGCTTCACAATTTTACCATTTTAATCTCTTATCTTAAAACTTGATCAGTGGATTTTACTGGGGTGGGAGAGGGGTCAGATCCCCATTTTGCCACCCTCTTCCTTCAACAGTTGGATGTGTCTGACATTAGTGGGAGGAACTAAATTGTATTGTACTGCAGAGCATCATTATTATCATAATCACCATTCCATAAATAATTTTCCTTGTAAAGTGAAAAATAAAATGGTAAAATAATCAAAATATGTATGATCTTGTAGAATTATAAATTCAAACATTACCTTCACTGAGTCTGGGAAGGCAGACAGGTCGTATAAAGGGCGTGAACTTTATTTTCTTCTCCAACTTGACAAGAGCGATGTCATAATCGTAGCGTTTTCTATTGAACAAATCTTGTTGGAAGTTGGAGGTGTCATAATCAAAACTCGACGTTTTGTGTTCTGACCTGGATCCGTGTTGATGAATATTTACATTTTGATTCTTATATTCTGGATGAATTAAAACTATTTCCATGCGAGAGCTATCTGACCCTTGGCTTCGACGGTCATTATCAAGGTGAGTCAAACCTGCATGATAAACAGTAAGGAAATATTTTTAAATGAATTTTATACATTTGTTTTTTTATATACTTTCTTTAAATATATGTAATAACTAAAATCAGTAGAACAAATGAAAAGCATGGTGAATGGGAGGGGGTGGGGTGAGGGAATTCTCAGGGTGTTGTCAACCACTCTCATTTTCTTGACCTCTACCTAGATGGCTCATTAAGAGTACAGAGACTATAAGCCTCTGTGGATTGGGCATTCTTTTTTTACCACACACACAGTGGTGATCTCATATTTTATCAAGAAAGTAATACTTAAGGTGAGGCATCTTACACCTTGTTTAGCGAGCCTTTCGAAAATGATTTTGAATAAAAATAAAATATTAGCGCACCTTCAGCCACAAAAAAAGTGGAAATTTCATAATGAAAATAAAATTTTGTGTTTTTTTTATTATGCCCTCAGCTCCCCTGAAATCTCCAAAAATAAAATATATATATTTCTTCCTTAATTATATAAATATAAAGCATTTATCAATTTCATTACTACACTGTTTAATTCATTAATAAAATTTTATTTTTATTTTCTCTATCTAGATATTTGCCAAAATCATTTTGCTAAATGAAGAAGCAAAATTTAAGTTTAATGTTTTTTCCGTCCTCCTCAGACAATCTTTTAAAAAATAAGTTTGCGTAACAAGATATTAAAAAAGTCTCTCCTAATCTAACCCTAAAGTCATGCAAATCCTACTCATTAAACTAAGCACGGTGGACCGTTGGCTTGGAGGAGATAATCTCACGCTTATGAGAATAATGCAGATATCTTACCCACTCCAACAATTAAACTGTCCAGAGTTCTGTTAGTAAAGCAGTGAGCAGCTGTTAACACCCAATCTTCTGCAATCAGTGACCCCCCACAAACAATATCCATCTGGGGAAAGACAAAAATCAAACATGGTTGGGGCTACATAAAACATGACTGTGAATACTAAAATGTACTACCATGTGAAATTTTGTATGTTCTGCAATTACCTGACCTGTAATATCTCGGGCTACGTTCAGACTTGGATATAAGTCAGGCTTGAGTTAAGCCCGGCTCAACGCTAAGCCCCTCTTAACTTTGGCACGCGTTCAGACTAGCGGGATTAGCCAGGCGCGAGAATTTTCATAATAATGAATCGTAACCAGCAAACGTGTTTCAAAACATTGCTCGCAAAACGTACGCACACTCACAGCGTAAATATTTGAATTCTGATTGGTCATTTTGTTACCCGAAGTCAATAAAAGACCCCTCGCAACGATTAAAGCCCAGCTTAGAAAAGTTAAACACAGTGGCATGCCAGGCCTAGTTACTATAGGAACACTGCCCGGCTTGAGATAAGCCACCTAGTTCATACTGGCAGGTGGATAAACCCGGTGAGTTGAGCCGGGTTTATCCACCTAGTCTGAACTAGGCCGTACTAACACTTGGTACGTTGTTAAACACTACTTTAAAAAAAAATCTTGCAAGTGATTCACGTGGGAATCGCACCTACAACCTTCAGATATCTAGCCTGGTGTCATAACCATTAGACCACCAATCTTGCGCTTAAGTGCCTAGTGTTGAATCCGATCCTCAGTAGCAGTGGGTACTGAAGTGCTATTTTGATGTTTTGCGTTAGGAAATTTAATAGGAATGATGGTCTGCCATACCTAATGTGTTCAATGATTATCAATTTTAAATGATAATTATTATTTCAGAATCTTATGAATTGAAATAGTTTGATAATTATTATTTAATAATTATTATTTAACAATCTTATGAATTTAGTAAACAATTTAAGACTTTCATTATAAGGAAATTGTAAAAAATAAGCAAAGTGATTTTTTGTTGCTTACATGTGTTTCATTTGTGTTGTCAAAGAAGGCAACTTGCCACGGCCATGCTCCAGGGTTCACCACCTTTCCATTCCCATGGTTTGTCTCTCCTGCAACTCCGCATTTGCTGTAATCTGCACATAAATATTTATTCATTGTTTATGGCTTTGAATTAGGCACGCATTGCAGATAAATTACCTTTTGATTGAAAAGGGGATTCCACTGGTATAACTAGCCCACCCCCAAATTTGGCCCAAATATTTGAAGAGCAGCTAGCTCAGTCAGCTAAACTGGTGGTAGCCACTGTGTGTGCGCTGAACCGTTGCGATCTCTTGGTCCACCGCTCAATTTCCATGAATGCTCTCCTTGTGTTTCAGCACTTCTCAAAAAGAGCACCGTCTTTCGGATGAAACATTTGAGCTGTTGGTCCTGTGGGCAAAATTTCTCATGTGCACGTTAAAGAACGCAGTACACTCTTCGGGAAAGAGTAGGGGATTTTCTGCCCAATTTACCACCAGATGGATCCCACTGGAAACAAGTCTTAGGACTTTCATGGGTTATCCTTGGCGTTTACACTAAATAAATCCATCCATCCCCAAAAATCGGCCCAACTTTGTGTTTAAGAGAGGTGGTTTATACCACAAGAGTTACAATATATTTTAAAATACAAAAGATTAATATCTTAAATAGCCAGAAAAAATTAAATAAGAGATGCAAACACCATGTTTTTACCATTCTGTTTGGATGCTAGATGTTTGGTAATGTTTTCAAGCTTGTCGA